TAGCAGGTATAATACTGAGGTTTGAAGCCACTAACAATGTAGGTAGGGCTAGTTTGGGTGGGAAGGGTGGGCCGAGAAGAGGAAAAATGATGATTCAGTTTATAGACTCATCAAATTAATCTAGCAAGAGCTCCAGAGAAGACCTTGTGGCTCAGGATAGAGTTTATAATCATTGCCTGGATAAGAGGTTGGATCATAGCCCTGGGAGAAGATGTGATCACTAAGAAGAGCATGGGCCAAGCCCAGGGGAGATCTGGGAGGGGCCTCCAAGGAGGATCGCATTTAGGAGACACAGAGGACTGAAATAGGAAAAGAACACAAATGAAATTAAACAGTTAAAGAAGCTTAGAGAATGATTGCAGTGGAAGCCAAGCAAAGATAATCCAGAACACACATAACTAAGACCCCCTCAAATCATGAAAAGAATAAGTATCAAAGAAATAAGAAAAATTTTTCTTACTAATAAGGAAATTTTTTGTACTCTTAGGTCAAAGGAAGTGGTTGCTTTATTAAGTGTTTTCAGTCTGTGGAGAAATGTTTGGTTACCTTTTAATGTAACTCAGTTGCAAGTAAAGAATTAATTACAATTCTTCTTTCATGGCATACTAGCATCATTAGTTCATACATGGTCCTCTTTAGTATATTTAACAACTTTATTAAATTATAATTTAAGTGTATAATTCAATGTGTTTTTTTATTACAGTTACAGAGTTGTGTTACCATCACTATAATGTTTTTAGAAAGTTGTCATCACCCCAAAAAAGAAACCCTGTACCCATTTGCAGTCATACCTCTTTGTCCTAGGCAACCACAAATCTGCTTTCTTTGTGTATAGCTCTGTCTGTTCTTGACATTTCATGTAAGATCTTAAAATGGCTTCTTTCGTGTAACATAATATTTTCAAGGTTCATTCATGTTGTAGTGTGTATTAGAACCTCGTTTATCTTTGTGGCTGAATATTCTGTTGTATGGATAGACCACATTGTGTTTCTCCATTCATCTGTTGACGGACACTTGTGTTGTTTCCACCTTTTGGCTGTTGTGAATAGTGCTGCAGTGAACATTGTTGTATAGGTCTGCTTGAGTCCTTTCGGTTCTTTTGGGTGTATACCAAGTAGTAGATTACTGGGTCGTGTAATAATTCTATGTTTAACTTTTTGAGGAACTGCCAAACTGTATCCACAGTGGCTACACCATTTTACATTCCCGCCAGCGGTGGGCCGGGTTCTAATTGCTCCACACCCTCAGTGTGTTAGTTACCTAGTGCTGCCATAGCACAAGTCGCTCAAGTGGGCGGCTTTGACAAACAGATTGATTTTCTCAAAGCTTTGGAGGCTGGAAGTCCTAATTCAGGGTGCTGGCTCTAGGGAAAGGCTTTCTCTCTGTGTCTGCTCTGGGAGAAGGTTCTTGTTTCTTTTCAGCTTCTGTTTCTTGGTTCCTTGGAGATCTCACATAGCGTGGCGTCTGTCTTCCCCCTCTGTGCTGCTTGCTGCTTGCTTAATCTTCTCTTACATGTCTCGAAAGAGATTGACTGTGACACACCCTGCGCTGATACTGCCTCATACACAGCACACACCCTATTCCCAAATGGAAATTATAAGCACAAGTATAGTAGGATTTATCACACATGTTTTTTGGAGCACAATTCAATCCATAACCCCACCAACACTTGTTATGGCCCATTTGTTGGATGATAGTCACTGTAGTGGAGGAAGTGGTGGTTCTCCTACTCCTTGATGAACATGTGGGTGGTTTCCAGATTGTTGCTACTACCACACAGTGCTGTTGTCCGTGTGCTTGTCATGTCTTCTGGTACACATGCCCCAGAGTCCATCCATCCTAAAACGTTCGACAATACTGGGCTGGGGGAGACGGGGACCAAGAGGATATCTCACATCCTAGCTGATGGCAAGTGTAAAATTGGTATAGTCACTTTGGAAAGTAGCATCATTTTGGAGAGCTGAACACATGCACAGCACAGGTGCAGCAATTCCTGTTTCCAGGCACAAGTATCATGGGCTGTGACAACTTTTTTCTGGTATTGCCTTCATTTGGTTTCTCTTTTTCTTTTTTTTATCTAGCTCCTGTGGTTGTTCCTCTCCCCTCCCCGCCCCTTTATCATCATTAAGGATCTTTTTCCCAGGCCAGCTGTTACAGGGAACATATGGTGGGCAAGGCCCTTTTTACAGGCTGCCTGGGATTTTTCTTAAGATCCAGCCTTGTGCAAGGCATCTGTCCTTTTTTTCTGTACAGCCATTGGAGGTGGGCAGTTGTGAGGTTTTTCCATGGATGCCACTGCTCCTAAAATTTGGTGGCTCTGTGTGAGTCCTCATTTAGTTTTGCTCCTTCTATTACTCAAAAGCATACCAGGGCCTGAGAAACCCTGCTGGGGGCCGGCGTGTCCCAGCCCAGCCGTCCCACACTGGCAGATAGGCTCTCCTCCTCAGGGTGGGCTCCTTCTCTTAAAGAAGTGGCGTTTTGCTGGCTCTTTGGGGAATCTGTGTGCGTGGCATTCTGTCCCCTCAGTGTCTCTTCTCCACTTCTTTTTGTGTTCCCCTTGTCCCACCATCCCCTACTCTATCTCCTGCTTTAGGTAATCCCTCTGTTTTGAGATCTGGAATCTTAGTTGTCCCCTAGTTTTGCTGAAAGTGGAGTTGGTATCATGTTTCCCATTCTGCTTGTTGCTTTTAGATAATTTCTAGAAAGAGAAGAGGAGGAGGAACATGCTTTACACTGCTGTGTTCAAACCAGAAGCCCTCTCACTCACTGCCATTGAGTTGATTCCAACTCATAGCAAATCCCATAGGGTTTCCAAGGCTTAAATCTTTACAGGAGTAGACTGCCTCATCTTTCTTCTTCCGAGTGGCTGGTGGGTCTGATCTGCTGACCTTTTAGTTAGTAGCGAAATGCCTTAATCAGTGTACCACCAGAGCTCCTTAAAAGCCCTCTAGTACAGTATTTTTAAACTTCTGTGAATATACTCCTCAGTAAGAAATAAGCTCCCAAAACAATACTCACCCTTAGGCTGCACAGTGTACTTTTTATAGTTTTGATCTGTTAAAGTATTGATCACAACCCACTGCACTTATTTCACTATCTTCTAAATGGAACACAGTCCACAGTCAGAAAACACTGCCCTACTGCTACAGACACTCAGTGTGGAAGTGTGGACAGATTTCAGAGTTCCCTTTGTTTCCTCTTGAGTGTGTCTCATGAGTGTGTTGACTTCCCAAATGTGTTTTCTGTAACTTCTAAGATCATGTGATTTTATCCTTTAGTCTGCTGAAATGGCCAGATACATGAATAGGTTTTTCTAATGTTAAACTGCCCTTGCCTCCCTGGTGTACTCCACTTGGGGTTTTTTCTGTGTGTGTGTGTGTGTGTGTGTGTACATGTGCCTACTATAATACATTGTTGTATTTAATTTGTTCATGGTTATGATTTTTGCCTCAGTATTCCTAGGTTTTTCACACTATCCTTACCTTGTTGTGATGCCCAGATTCTGCTGGTGTCATGAGGAGTGGAGAGAACGGCCTGTCTCAGTTCTGACACATATTGTACACTGTTAGGATTATCACTTCCTTCCATGTTTTCTAGAACTGACCAGTGCATTTGTGTTTGCATAGGAGGCGGAATGAGGAGGAGGGTTTGGAATGACAACTTCAGTGTCTTTGGGTGGGATATTTTAACTTTTCTTGAACGTTATTTGTTATTTTATAGTTTTCTAGCTGTTCCTATTCCCTGTTTTCATATATATTGGCATAAAATGATTCCTAATATCGTACTTTTTTTAAAAAATCTGTGTGTGTGTGTGTGTGTGTGTCCCATTTTGCATGTGTCTTCTTTCATTCCTTAGCTTGTGGAGTGTAACTCCAGTCTCGGCCTCTGTCTTCCCTCTGTATCTGTCTCTGTGTGTCTTCTTATAAGGACACCCGTCATACTGGATTAGGTCCTGTCTACTCCATATGACCACATGTTAACCTATCTCATTACGTCTGCAAAGACTGTGTTTCCAAACAAGGTCACAGTCATGGGCACTGGGGTTAGGATTGCAGCATACCTTTTAGGGGCACACGATTCACCCCAGGACAATTAGTTACTCTTCAAATTTTGATTCACCCTAGGACAATTAGTTACTCTTCAAATTTTAACATATATTCTTGACTTAACAAAATCTGAAGTTACTCAGCATTTCCCAAACAATGCAGGGATTTGGAATAATTCAGAATTTAGAATAAGCTCTCCTGTTTTCCTGTGTCCTGTTATCCTCTGGTGTTTTATTTCTATCTTAAGGCTGTATCTCTAAAGGTAGCTGCCATGGGGATGGTTATGAGGCCTAGTTCTTTTTAAGGGTAAAGTTCAGACACCCTCATGTGGTTTACAAACACCCATCCCCAACTGCCTTCAGCCTTCTCTCTTCCCACTTCCTAGCCACACTCCAGTCTGATAATAATGAGCGACTTGTAATTGCTACCTTATTCTTGTTCTTTCTTACTTCTGAGCCTTTGTATACGGTGCTCCTTTGTCCTGAACACTCTCCTTCCCTTTTCCACCTTCCTCTGACAGGTTCTTACTAATCCTTCATACCTCAACTTAGACATCAGTTTCTCCAGAAAGTTGTCCTCGCTGCTCCCCGAGCCTGAGTAAGGTCCTGTGTGAGTCCCTTGTTTACCTCTGTGCCCCCACTTTGCTGTCAGCAGCCTGTTGACCTGTCTGAGCGTTACTCGAGGGGAAGGACTTTTGGCTGTTTTGTTCACTGTTGTTCCCCAGCTCCTAACAGAGAGCGCCTGGCACACAGTTCAGGACATGGTTGCTATGATTGTTATCAGCACCTTCATCTGTCATGACTCTCAAATGTCTGCTTGTTGTATAAATAACTCTTAAGTATGCCAAGAAGCTTAGCGTTAAGTTACAAGATTGACAAGGGCGAGCATTGTTTCAGAGCCACATTTGAGGCCTTTGTTTTCCACTTATTCAATCACTTGCCCTTTTCACACTAGGAACTAACCCAGGAGTGTGATGAAAAGAAATCCCAGTATGATAGCTGTGCAGCCGGCCTCGAAAGCAACCGGTCCAAGTTAGAACAGGTAAGAGCTGAAGTCAGCAGAAGCAGCCTGTGTGCCCACACTGCATCTCACCAGTCTCAGAAGGCTCCCAAGTCTGTACTCCCATCTCAGTCTGTCTGCTGAACTTCAGAGATCTTTATTTCCTCAAACTTTATGTTTACAAATGGAATTCTCCAGCTGTTCTGCTGCCACAAAGTCCAGACCACCATCATCTCTTTCCTAAACTCCCACGGTGACCATCCGCCTGGTTTCCCCACTTTTGCTCTTAAAGTTATTCTAAAATTTATTCTCCACAGACCTGCCAAAGAAACCTTTGTAAACCTAGTCCATTGACCTAGGACCTCTGATGGCATAGTGCCTAAGGCATTTGACTGCCAACCAGAAGGCTGGTGGTTCAAACCCACCAGCCACTCCTCAGAAGGAAGGTTGGGCAATCTACTTCCATAGTGATACGTGCCTCAGAAACCCAAGGAGGGGTTGCTATGAATTGGATCCTACTTGATGGCAATGAGTTTTTTTTTCAGTTCATCAGCCATTGACTTCCCACTGTACTTCAGATAAAATCTCACTTCCAAACCATGGGCCACAAGGCACCGTGGCACATTGACTTCAGATGACTTCCCTTCTCGTCCATGGGGCTCTAGCCGCACCCACCTCCTTCCTGCCTTTCAGACAGGCCAAGCTCATTGTCACCTTGGGGTTTTTGCAGTTGCTCTTTCCTCTACCTAGAGACCCCTGCTCCATGCCCTGGCTCTTTGCCTTGCTCTCGCCTTTTCATCTTCAGTCCGTAGCCCGAATGTCACCTCCTCACAGAACCTTCTCTATCTAACATTGCCCACTGTCCTCCCACCACAGCTCCTCAGCCGCTCTGTCCCACTGGACTGCTGCATTTCATTCAGAGCACTTATCCCCATTGGAAATCCCCTTCCTGATGCATGCCCTTGTTTATGTCTGTCTCCTCTACTTGTATAAGAGCAGAGACCTGTCTGTCTTGTGTACTGTTGTATCCCAAGCACCTAGGGCTGCACTGGACACACAGAAGTTACTTAGCAAGTGAGGTTTTAAAGTGAAATGTGTGACTCCAGAAAAGACTGTGAGCTCTTGTTTTAGGATGCAGATTTAGTGTCACAGGAGCAAAGGACTAATGGTGAACCTTTCGTTGTATACTGAAAGTCCTCCTCTGTGCTTGTGTATCGTTCTTTTTGTCATATCCCTCATGTAAAATGCTGTATTGCAGGAAGTCAGAGGACTCCGTGAAGAATGTCTTCAGGAAGAAAGTAAATACCATTATACAAACTGTATGATTAAGGTAAGACAAAGAAAATGGATCTACAACTTGTCTGAGGTTTTTCTGCCTCAAGGGCATACCTAAAACTAAGTTTTTCCACTTAGAACCTGGAAGTACAACTTCGCCGTGCTACCGATGAGATGAAGGCTTATGTTTCCTCTGATCAGCAAGAAAAAAGAAAGGCAATCAGGCAAGTCTTTCTGTTGTTTCATAGTGGATCTTAGTGCTTTCACCTACAGAAGTTTTATAATTAAAATGGAATTACACAAATGTGGAGTACTTAAATGAGCACATATGAAGATGCTATTTAGGACTACGTCTTGTTAAACTTAGCGTCTCCTGAGCATTTCAGCCCTTCTAACTAGGTAGGGATGCATATAGGTTTATAGTGTTTTGTTTTGTTTTTTAAATAAGTACTGAAGTTGGTCTCTTGTTAGTGTCCCACATAGCCTGGACTCCAGCTGACTGCCTACAGTGTGTGTGATGATGTTGCAGGTAGGGAGCTGATCTCAGGGTGCTGGCCTTCAGAATGAGAAACGTGTGCAGACACCACCAGTCTTTATGTGGTGAGTGACCACTTGCTAATCCAAGTGGTGGCCGCTGTAACACATCAAATGCTGCTTCGACAGGTCGATTTATGGCTGAATTGCGAGCTGTGAGAAGATAATCATGAAGTAAGAGAAGCCTGCTTTGCCCCTCATCACAATTCAGCTGTTTTGTTTTTACCATCCAGTAAGAATTCAGACCAAGTGTAGGGTTCACTTTTGTTCTAGAATGTAGTTGAGACTTTGAGTGGCACATACATTAATGCTAGAAAAAGGGATCTGAGAAATAAAGTGTCTATGCCGAGTCTACATTTTTTAAATGTACAATATGCTGGAATGTCAGCTAGGCTGAAAATATCCTGCAAATATGACAGTGTCTTTTCTAATAGTCTAACATACTAAATTCAAAATGCCCTTCTTCAGAGGCTTTCCCTGAATGTAAACTTTGCTCAGATAAATCTGGTCGATGCTAAGAAATTTGAAAAGTTAATTTTGTTCTCTAAAAATAAAAAGTTTTAGAAATTCAGTTTCATATCTTACAGAGTTGACGGTTTAAATAGATTAGGTGTTCTGGAATTAAACACGGATTTTCTCTCATCAATTTTCCAGCCAGATGTTATTTTTCATAATTTAAAACATCATCATAAACTCCTACCATTCCATTATTTTCCTGTAGAAAAATACTGTGCCATGACTAAAACAACATATGGTAAGAATATTATGAACAAATTTGAATTGAGTACATCTTAAACTCACTGATAGTTGTATAAAATGTGATTATAGATATGTTTACTGTTATTCTACTTTCAGCACTTACAGTTACTTTCTTGTAAGACTAAAGGTATAAGAAATTAGCTTGGCTTTGAAAAATGGTCTGCAAATCTTTATTTAAAAGGCAGCATGTTTTAGTTCAAGGCATTAGATTGGGGCTCATATTACTTTGTTTTACACCCTGGTTTTTCCAGTTGCTGGCTGTGCTTGGGCAAGTCACTTCCTCATGTTTAAAATAGGAGAACAACCTGTACCATGAAGGATCAAATTAGATATCATGTATGCACAAGTGCTTTAGAAATACAGACTGTGATTCCTTGAGGCAACGACCCTGTCTGTCTTGTTTTCCACTTTAAACCCGAGGAAATTCTTGGCACATAAAAGATGTTCCATAATTATTTGTTGAATAAATAAAAATTAGGTATTGATACTAAAGGGGAAAATGACATGAACCTGTTGATTACTTGAGAAGTTTTTGTATGAAAATTCTACAAGAATTTGGACATTTCTCAGACCTGGGGTAGTAAATGAATGATTTAAAGCTGTCTGACCTATGACCCGTGTATTCTTGAGCAGTATGTCATCTGTATCCTCTGAGCTTGCTTTTTATAGGAAAGCAAGAGAGACAGGCCATCTGACTTGTGTACATGCATTTAAGGGGCATGAAGTTTTGTCCACACTGTGTGTGTTTCCATCCACCCTCATGCTGTCTTCAGAATCTCCCTTCCCTTCAACTCTGAAACGACTCAGGTAGTTGTAACAGTTCTCCATGCTCATCACTTTTACCTCCTTACTTTGTGTAAAGGCTGGTCTGCCCTCACTCACCAAAAAAACCAAACCCCTTGGACTTCCAGTAAGATGGAGGACTAGGCAGACAAGCGACACAGACCCTCTTCAACAAAGAAAAAACCAATTAACAGAGATAGAGAAGATAATTCTGGAGCCCTGAGCTTTAAAAGGAACCATACAGAAGTAAATTAGGCACCAACTAGTGGAAAAATCTGAACGAAAACAATGAGTACAGAGATAGAGCTGCGGATTGTCAGCTTTTCTGACGGGACCAACAGCCTGAATATTTCCAAGTGGTGTTGGGAGCTGAGAATTGACCTAAAGATAAGCGCTGGTCAACACAAGGGCTGCAGGGATGTCTGCGCTGGTGGCCTATGACTAGGAAGGGAAACAGCAAGGAGGGAGACAATCTGAGCTGTTGACTTTCCACTGTCCAGAGGGCGCAGTCATTTTGGTTGTTTACACGTGGCAGCCATTTTGAATATTTAAAGTGACAGAGGGTGCAGCCATTTTGAATCTTTACAAGTGGCAACGATTTTGGATTTTAAAGTGACAGTATTCTCATTCGGATTCCAGGGACCTAAGAATAGGCTCTGTTTGCCAAGGTCAGCAAGGACACACCAGAGGCTGACAACAGGAAAGGAGACAAGTGGTGAGTATATAAGTGCTGTCAACTAGTGAATAGAGGAGCACAGCACAGTACCCTGCTTGCGTAGATAACATACAAACAAAACAAAGAAAATGAAAATCATGGGCAAGTCACTCCAACATACAACATACCAGTTAAATATAAACACAAAAATATCACGATGCCTCGGAGACAGCAGCATCACAGTGCACACAAAGAAGCAAGATAAAGCAGGAGAAACAAGGGACCAGGATCCAAAACACATCCCTGAGGAAGATGCAGCATTGGAACTCCCTGATAAGGAATTCAAAAGAATTATATTTAGGTATCTTCAAAGGATTGAGAGACAGATCAAGGAAAACATTGACAAAATTGAGGAAAACACAGAGAAAACCCTGGAACAATTTCAAAAGACAGTACAAGAACAAAATGACAAAATAAATGAAAAATTAGAAATGATACAAAATCTACACACACAAATCCAGAAGACCAATACTAAATTTTCAGAAATCAATAACACATTGAATGGGCAAAGGAGTAGAATTGAATCAATTGGAGACAGAATTAGTGAGATTGAAGGCAAATATCTGAATATTCTTTGGACAGGAATCAGTCAGAAAAAAGATGAAAACAAAATGAAGAAAGCCTAAGGTTCATGTGGGATACCATCAAAAAGAATAACCTATGTGTAATCGGAATTCCAGAACAGGAAGAGACAAATAAAACCATAGAGAAAATTGGAAGAGAATTTTCCTGGTGTGATGAAAGATGAGAATATACCCATTCAGGAAGTCCAACAAACCACAAGCAGGATGGACCCCAAAAGAAAATCACCAAGACATATCATCATCAAACTCATCAAAACCAAAGACAAAGAAAGAATCATGAGAGCGGCATGGGAAAAATGAAAAATTACCTACAAGGGGCAACCAATAAGCCTAAGTTTGGATTTCTCAGCAGAAACCATGCAGGTGAGAAGACTATGGGATGATATATATAAAACCCTG